TCAAGTTAATTTGTGTGAGTGGTGTGAACTACCATTTCTTCAAAAATTATTTATATTTACTATGGATAAGGCACCTTTTAGGCTCTAGTAATATAATGTGAATTAAGTTGGTTTTCCCTCAGTATACAATCTAATGAAGAACACAGATTTAAACAACAGACAGTTGCAGTATGTGGGAGATATACAAAAGGGATATTTATAAAGTGCTATGGGAACCCCTACTAAGAACACATAAACCAGTCTCCCAAAGGTCAGGTCAGGCTTCCTGTAGGAAAGGATATCTAATCTAAGAACCATATGTGGGGAACTAAAATATTGTTGAGTTTTAAAAGATAAAAGCAATAAAAGGAAATACAAGGACAACCCTACGTACTAATTGTATATGATAAATATATAAGAAATTTTTTCAGTAGATAGATTTGCTGATAAAATGGCAAATTTTTAGGAGAAATAAATATAAAACATTTCTTTAACAAATTTTTTGGCATGTGAACATTGCTTTATTTTCACCCATTTTTTAATTGATTAAATTTGACATGTAACTGTATCTTAAGGTATACAAGTGTTACTTTGATGATTGCTACTATAGCAGTATTTATCACATTACATACTTATACTACAGTATTATTGCTGTCTATATTTGTCATACTGTGCATTAGATCTCTGTGGCTTATTTATTGCTTATTACTAGTCTTTATGCCCTTAAACACCATTACTCTTATATACCACCCTCATCCCTGGGTAACCACCATTTTACTCTGTTTTTTATGGACTTAACTTTTTTAAATTCCACATGTAAGTCATATCTTTCAGTATTTTCTCTGCCTGACTTATCTCGCTTGGTATAACGTGCTCAAGATCCATCCATGCTGTTGCAAATATGAGGATCTTTCCCTTTCTCATGGCTGATTAATATTCCATTTTGTATATGTATCTCATATTTTTTATCTGTCTGTCCATTGATGGGCATTTGGGTTGTTTCCTTATCTTGGCTGCTGTGAGTAATGCAGCAATAAACCTGGGAGTGCAGATATACCTTGTCAAAATACCTGTTTCACTTCCTTCGGGTATGTACTGAGAAATGAATTTACTGAGTCATATGGTATATCTATTTCTAATTTTTTGAGGAATCTGCTCATATATTTTTTTCATAATTGCTTGCTCACTTTGTTTTCCACAGTGGTTGGACCAATTTACATTGCCAACAACAATACATAATCTATTTCCCTTTTCACCACATCCTCATTAGCGCTTTGTCTCTTGTCTTCTTGATGATATATCCATTCTAACACATGTGAGGTGGTATCTCATTGTGGTTTTGATTTGCATTTCCCTGGTGATTAGTGATACTGAGCATGTTTTCATGTGTCTGTTGGGCATTTTGATGACCTCTTTGGGAAAATATCTAATTCTCCCATTTTAAAATTCAATTGTTTGGTCTTTTTGTAATTAAGTTGGCTGAGTTCTTTATCTATTTTGGACATTAACCTCTTATTCAATATATTGTTTGCAGACATTGTCTCCCATTCTGTAGGTTATCTTTTCATTTTGTTAATTGTTTATTTTGCTGTGCACAAGAAGCTTTTGAGTTTGATATAGTCCCATTGTTGAAAATTATTGCTTTTGTTGGGTTTTTGGTGTCATGTCCAAAAAAGTCATTGCCAAGACCAGTATTGATGAACTTCTTCCCTCCATTTTCTTCTAGGAGTTTTATGGTATCAGGTCTTATGTTTAAGTCTTTGATCCTTTCAAGTTAATTTGTGTGAGTGGTGTGAACTACCATTTCTTCAAAAATTATTTATATTTACTATGGATAAGGCACCTTTTAGGCTCTAGTAATATAATGTGAATTAAGTTGGTTTTCCCTCAGTATACAATCTAATGAAGAACACAGATTTAAACAACAGACAATTGCAGTATGTGGGAGATATACAAAAGGGATATTTATAAAGTGCTATGGGAACCCCTACTAAGAACACATAAACCAGTCTCCCAAAGGTCAGGTCAGGCTTCCTGTAGGAAAGGATATCTAATCTAAGAACCCAGTGAACTAAAAGAATATATTTAGAAGCATAGTGTGCTAAATGTGCAGTCCTAAAGGCAAAAGAGGAGATAATTCATTTTAAAAGCTACAGATTATTCTGTATGGATGAAATGTAAAATGAGAGAAAGGTAGTGGTAAGAGACATTGTTGAAGAGGTAAGCAGGAGTCAGTTGTATCAAATGCTTGAGACATAAATGGCCCATTTGTCCCAAATTTAGGGACAGTTCCAGTTAATGCATATTGTACTTAGCATAGTTATTAATGGCATACTCTTTCACTTCACAAAGTATCCTACTTTGGTTACTCCAGTGGCGTAATAGAGATTGGATTTAAGATGGATGGTATTGGAGGCAGGGAACTCAGGCAGGAGGCCATCTCAGTAGTCTAAAAGTTAAATGAATACCAGAATTTTGAAACAACGTAGGTCAAGATAAGAGGTAGAGTATTTATTAAAAATCTGTGCACCAAGCATGGTTTAGATTTAGTGATTTTAATGTGATAAGAGAAATGATTGCCTAGTATCAGATGGATTTATATTGTCAATGATCAGGATAGAGACTATTATGTCAGGAATAGGTTTAAAGAAAAAAATAATGAATTAACCTTATATATTATAAATTTGGGACTGAGATGAAGAATGTGCTAAATGGGTTTTAGAAATGTGGTAGTAAGGTACAGCAGGGTAGAAACATTCTGTAGGCCTTTGATTAGGTCTTAGTCTTTTCATAAGCCTGTGCTCCTGGACTGTAAACTTCACCTGTACTTTTCAGTTTCTTCTTTCCCATCCTTGGCTGGGAAAGGGTGGCCAGAGGCAACTGGAATTGGGTATTTCTTTCCTCTTGTGGAAAGTTAGAGGGAGTTGGAGTTGGGTATTTCTCTCCTAGGTAGGTTGGTTCCTTTCTAGATAACCTTCTAGGTAGGTTAGTCTCTGGTAAAATAGTTTCTCCTGAGGGCAGGTCTTGTTAAGAAGAACATAGTGTTCTGGCATAATTCAGAATGTTTTTCTCCTCTCCCTGCTAGAAACACAGGGGATTTTTCTCTGATATTTACAGTGAAGACATTGGTGGAGTTCTGGAGGATAAAACTCAAAAAAGTTGGAGGTCCTCTATGACAGTGCCCCCAAAGTTTTTGACTCTCAGACTTGTCCATTCTGATCCTCCAGCAATTTTTCTATTACAGTTCTGGTTTCCCTACCCCAGCACTGGTTTCCAAGAAGGATTCTGTTCTAGTAAGTGTAACTCTATTTGCCTCTTTTCTAATTTGGGGTAGCAGTTTGCCCTGGCAGACCTAATTTGTTGGTTTTTCAGTTTGTTCAGCTTTTTACTTGCTAATAAAATGGATGGAGTGAAAATTTCTGAGTTTATTACATGCCAGATTAGAAACTTTCTATATAAACTTTATAGTTTATAGCCTAGCCACTTTCCTGAGTTCTAAAACCACCTCTTTGCTTGATGTTCATTTCTACTTGTATGTTCAACTGGCATCTTGATAGCAATAGGTTCTAATTGTAATTAAGTATATCTACTTAGGCCTGTTCTCCTTTATGACCTCCTTACCTCTGCTCAGAATATGATTTTCCCTGCTATTTAGACTCAAAATCTTAATCCTTGCTTATCTTTAATTTATCTTTATTTCTTGTCTATTCACATCTTAAAAAGTAATTTTTTCTAAATCCTCTCAATTCTGCTTCCAGAGTTTCTTTATTCTGTTCTCACTGTTCTAGTTCAACTCATTTTTTTCAACCGAATAGATCAGAATAATTTCCTAAAGTTATATATTTATTCATCATCTCCATTTTCAATATCCTTGATTTCATCTTGTCCACTACTTCAAGTTGTAGTCGCACTCTCCTGTGCTTTTGACTCATTACTCATTTCTTTTCCCTTTAATCAAAAGTTATTGAGAGTCTATACTGGGCCAAATACAAGGAACGCAGATTTACATAATAGAGCTCACAATCTTTTAAAATCATGTTAGTTTCTTTTTCTGAAACCATTTCTGGCTTCTTATTTCCTTAATTAAGACTGAACTCTGAACCTTGTGATTATACAGTATGGTGCCACTTAGATTTTGATATTTCCCCATATATTCCCCCTTTTGCAACCTATACTTTAAACAAACATGGGTACTCTGCATATATTCCATCTTTTAACTTCTTAAAATGTTCCTTTTGGAATGGTTTTCTTCCTTTCACCATTCCTAACCAAATCCTCCTTTGTTGGCATCTCATAGCACTTAATACATTCTAATTTGCAAGAGGAAATGTTTGTATTTCCTGTCCTCCCTTTCAGTTTTTAATGCTGCTGGTGTGGGAAGGTATCTTATCTGAATTTCTTACCTGGAAACAATGATACTTGTTCATTCAGCAATTATATTTGAGCACTTCTTTTGTGCCACTGACTGTTCTAGGATATAGGGATTTAAGAGCAACCAAGATGGACAAAGTATTCCTGACTTCAAGGACCTTACTTTATAGTACTCTGCTCTGTCAGTAGTTTAATTTAATATTAGCTGGAAATGATCTTCTGTGAGGAAATTTTTCTTTAGTTTTTATTTATTTCACTGGAACTTTCACTTCTATATAATATACTATTTATACCTCTAATTATACTTTTTAACCAAATAATAACTGCTTTCATAAGCTTTTGATATATGCTAAGAACTTTACATACTTTATCTCTGTTCTTCAACAAAAAACCCTGCAAGGTAGACTTTATTATTTTTGTTTTATAGATGAGGAGATGGCAGCTCAGAGATGGTAATAATTTGATTTAATCAATTTAATCATGGTGCATAACTAGGAAGCAGGAGAGCTGGGATTTATGCCAAGGTCTGTCTGTAGCTAAAGCCTGTATGTACTTTATGTACTATACCTCATTTCCAGTTTCTTTCCATTTGTTCAAAACAAGTAAACTTTTAAAAATCTTAACCTGTTTTTTCTTTCCTCTCCCCATAGCCACAATATGAGAATACTTCACTCCAGACTGAATTTTCTGATCAGTCAGTGTCCCATTCCCAGCAAGAGGACCTTGAGCAAAAGCTAGCGTCTACTGAGAAAGAGGTTTTACAACTCAATCAGTTTCTCAAACAAAGATTAAGCCAATTTAGTGAAGAGAAGAAGAAACTGGAGGAAAAGGTAGGTATTTTTAATACAATTTAATTAAGACACCAACATTGCTTCAACATAGAGTTATTTGTCTATCATCTACTCTGTGCCAGGTGTCATACCGTGTTACACATTTATATTGAAGTGATTAGTATAGTAATAACTTTTGAGAAACCCTGTGCTATCTAAAGAAATCTGGGGACTTTCTTGAGGGATAAAAATACCACTGTATATTGTATCTTTCTAATAGTGAAATCTTTTTTAAGTTAGTTGCCTAAACTCAGTTGTCGCACCAATAACTGTTCTCCTTTTCTTTTTTGCACCCTGTTTCTTTGTTGTTAGATATCAAGGATTGGTTAATGAAATAAAGGCAGTCTTTCTTTCGTAAACATATGACTTAAAAATTAAATAAGCTGAAATTACATAAGCTAAGGCCTCTGATTCAGAATAAGTAGCTAAAAGCCAAATACCTAATACGTACAAAATGTATCTGTACATTTATTTCACCTTTCTGCCTTTATTAAGGTATTTTCACATATTTCATGTCATTCCATTATGCTTTAGTATCACTAAAGATCTAGTATAATACATGTTAGCCCTGACTTCCTAAAGAAGCATAGATCCTTAGTCTGCTGCTTAGCTGCAGAACTAGTTTTAAATTTCTCTCTTGATACACCCAGCTTATTATTCTATTAACTGAACCTTCCATACAAGTGATCTTGAACCAGTCACTATGATTTTTTTAGGCAGGTTTGGAGCTATTAATAGAGAACTCGACTGACATTTTTGTGGGTGTGTGT